CAAAGGCCAACAGCTGCCTGTATTCCATTTACGGTGCAGACAGCCCACCTGGGGTCGGTCTAGTTCTAAAGGACAGAAATCAATTTTTTTTTGAGCTCTTAATAAAAGCATAGTCAGGCATCCCTTGTCCACAGCACAAGCGACATTATACCTCCTTCACTATCTGTCAGGATCAGGGAATGGGCTCTCCCACAGGACACCTGCAAGACTCGAGTCTGCTGCGGCTTCTCCAGTGGTAATGGAATTGGAGACGGTTCCAAGACATATTCATAGCCCTTAGCTTGATGAAGACAGAAAAATGTTAAGTCAGTAGCTTCCATAAAGTAAATTTAGCATATACTTGCTGATTCTGTTGTACATTCACATACTCACTTCTCCTTTGTTACAAATGCAGATACATTTTAGAAAGCCAAGACAGAGGCTGACAGAAATTTATTGCAGAGAAAGAGAGAAGGTAAAAGCCATGGTGAAGGCTCAAGCCAATATCACTGCCTAATCAAAGGTCCGCCACACCTAAAGGCTGAATTAAGGCTTCAGGTGGCAGAATTGAGAAACTGAGGCTTTCAGCCATATGTTCAACCACTTTGATGAATAAGGCTGGACTACTAGAGCTTAACACCAAGCACAAACTAAGTACTGTGTGAAAATGGGGATATTGCAAACAAGATACAAGAGCAAGAATCACAAACAACAAAAAAAGCAGGAAAGGTGAACAAAAAAATCTTAGGGCTTTATATTTAAAGAAGAGTAGATTAAAGGCTCTTTCAGAAAAAAGGAATGCAGGAAAGACTAGCTAGGCTAGCTCCATAAGGAATAAGAGGTCTAACATTTATGAAAGAAAATGACATGCTGTACTTGAAAAAGATTTAGTAACTTGAAGAATGTGTAATCAGTTATAGTCAATGGGGGGGGGGAGCAAAAAAGAACAGCAAAACATAAATCAGTACTAAGTAAAAGGTTAAGGGGAGATAAAAAGCTTTGATATCAAAGAAAGTCACTGTAACAAGTGACATCAAATCCCAGAGGACTCAAAGAAATATTTTGCTCACATGCAGCAGTGCTTTAACTGGTTCTCACTGTCTTCAATAAAAATAATAATTAAAAAAAAACCCTAGAAAATCTACACAAGCCCTTTTGCAGTAAGACACTACTGGATGTGAGGATAGGCAGGCACTGGATGTGACAACAGGATGTTTGTGAATGGCGGGTGCCTGCCATGCAATAGAGCAGGAGCTGAAAGGCAGCCAAAACTCTGTCTAAAGACACGTGGAAGTCACAAAGCAAAAAAATCTTTTCCTCTCTCTCTCTGTTCCTTCCAGCAGTGCAACACAGGCTATTAGGATCTGTGGTAATCATCACTGATGGTTGAGGGATTTTGAAGAATAGAGGCAATGAGGTGGCTAAGGAAGAAGAGGATAAGAATGAAATATTAGTAGTTCAGATACAGCCATCTAAAAGTCAGACACAAATTCCCCTGGAAATAAAGCATCTACAGAGACAGTGTTGGAACCAGTGGGTAACAAAGTAAGTTTGTAAAACAGTAATGAGCAGCACATCCCAAAAGAAAGCTTGTCTGAGGGAAGTAAGGAGCAGTAGCAATCCCACTGTTGAATTCCCACTTTCAACAGATCCTGCCAAACCCTTACTTAGCAGGGCTTGAACTGCAAAACTACTTAACCTATTTCTGGATTCTCTGGCAAAAATAATCTCCAGGTCAGATGACAGGCAAGACAACCACAAGACACACCTGAGACATCAGCACGTGCAGAACGAAGACACAGCAAGAGCTGAAACCCTTAAAAGCAGAAGTCAGGAGAGGCTTTTCCAGCCCCTGCATTTTGCCGCTGCTGTTTAAGCTCACACTTGCTGTGCACACACACTGCTGGGGATCTATCCAGCGTGCCAGCACAAAGCAGCATCACTGCAAACCTCAGCATGCTGCACTGTAACTGCAATTTTCTTTGCTTCTCCAAAAACTTTAAGATTTTGCCCATATCAGATGCATTACACTCTTACACATTATAAAAACTGCTTTTAACATGATTTTCCTCGACTGTTTATGGAGGAATGTCTTCAGAGACAACCATTTTATGATGAAAGTTTGTGTTTCTCCTATTTGCCTTTGGTGAAAAGTGTCCATTTTCTGCACAGAAATCATTATCTTAAATGGTTTAAGAGCCTAGAATAAGACAGAATGACTGAATAATGTGGTTTTCCTTCAAAATTCAACTTGCTATTAAAATAATTTAAAAAAACGCCCTATAGCTTCACAAACAAAACAACCAAAAAAACCCCAACCAACCAAACGACTGTATAAAAAGAGCTCTGTGGGAAAGGAATTTAGTTTATAAGTGCATAGGCAACAGAAGCGAGCAAACCACCCTGCCAAAATCGATTAATTAACTAGCCCCTAACATTGTCTACTATCATAAACTATAGATTCAAAGCCACCCCTTAAACAACGTCCACATTTTCCAGAATAAATAGTTCCATTCCAGCCTGGATGTAACTAAACACTGGAAGTGCAGTGTATAGAACAGAGGCACATCTTGACCAAGTACAAAGCACAGAAAAACACAGTTAGGTTCAAGAAAAAGATCTCTTAAAAAAAACCAACAAGCATAGCCTGGCACTGCATCAAAGCCTCCTGATATTTTTCACACCTTCAAACTGAAGTTTCCTGTACTACAGGTATCCTGCAGTACCCTCTTGTGCCCCCCCCCTCCCCACCCTGTAAATCTTTAAAACACTCCAATCCTTACTTTGATCTCTTCTGCTCCTCTGGAATCCAAGCTGGGAATCCTTGTTGAGCCCCGTACCCCACACTTTGGTGATGTCCGTGGTATTAGAGGCCAGCAGTGTGAATCCATAACCACAGGCAGCAGAGGATATCTTTAAAGACAGACAAAACCCACACCATTCAGTTAGCAATTCTGGCTTAGAAAAGCAAGTTTCAGCCCACACTATTTGTTCATCAGCATTCATCCCTCATTAAGCTACATCCATATACGGCCCGAATTCAAGGCACGTACGATTTTGCAAAAATTATCAGAAACATTTTTCTGTGATAAGCACGATGGCACAAATTCAAGTCCAATTTTTTTGCCTTTTTGTTTTCATGTGCATACATCTTTATTTTTGTATTATTTTGGCCTCATTCAAACACAACAGGAACACCTCTCTGCTGACCTGCATCAGCAGATTACAAAAAAAAAAAAAAACAACCAAGTAAAAAGATCTTAAAAGAATAACATTCCCGTTTTATTCCTTTTGCCAAAAAAAGCCCAGGACAAAAGCCATGTGAGGAGCAACTGAGGTCACTTGGTTTGTTCAGCCTGGAGGAGAATGAGGTCAGACCTCATCGAGGTCTGCAGCTTCCTCATGAGGGGCAGCATGGATCTCTCCTCTGTGTGAGCAGTGACAAGACCTGAGGGAACTGCCGGAGCTGTGTCAGGGCAGAGTTAGGCTGGATATCAGGAAAAGGTCCTTCCTGCAGAGAGTGGTCGGGCACTGAACAGGCTCCCCAAGGCAATGGTCACGGCACCAAGAGAGCTCCAGGAGTGTTTGGACTATGCTCTCGGGTGCGTGGTGGGATTGTTGGGGTGTCTGTGCAGGGCCGGGAGTTGGAGTCGATGATCCATGTGGGTTCCTTCCAGCTCAAGATATTCTATGAATGTTCTGACCTTCTCTGCACTGAACAGCAGAGCACAACGAGTGAAACACGTAGGCAAAAGAGTAATATTTTCAAGACAAGCTTCCTATTTGTCGTGTGGGAGGAGCCACGGAGCCACTGGAGGCGAGGCGCGTTTTCTCTGGCAAATGTTCTTCCCACCCTAGTTCTCTTATGCCTCTGACAAAACTACAGATATATACTTTCCAACCTGTATGCTGCTGCAGTTATACCAATAATCATCCCGAGTAACACTGTTATATCGACAAAAAACTGTGAATCACGGCAAAGCCCTTAAACCCGATCCCGCAGCGCCGTTCTCGCTGGGCAGAGCCCTGACCAGGCTCCGGGGGGGAAAACGGCAGCCTCGCCGGGCCGCGCCCACCTTCTCCTCCGTCTCCAGGCGGTACGGCGTGGGTTGGATACGCCGCGGCTTCTTCCAGCCCGCATCAGGCTTCACGAAGCTGGGGACGCCCAGGGCGCCCGAGTAGCTGAAGCCCCACACGAACACGCGGTCCTTGCGCCTGGCCGCCTTCCCCGTGTACTGGAACACTGGGGCGGCCTCTTCGGCCTCCCGCAGCTGGCGGGTGCTCGGCGGCCCCGCTGCCCCGCCCAGGCCCCTGCAGTGGAACGGCCGCGCCGGCCCCGCCGTCCTGATCGCCCTCAGCGCCCCCGCCATGGCCGCCCTCAGACCGCCGCCATCTTGCCGCTCGCCCGCGTGGCGGTCACCGCCCCTGCGCGCACGCGCCCTGCCGCGGTGGCGCGGCGCGCTTGTCTTAAAGGGGCTACCCCGACATCTTCTGAGGGTGTGTCTCAGAGCCCAGACCCAAATGTAAACCTGAACCTACACCCAAACCCAGTTCTAAATCGAAACATACCCCCAGACCTAAATCCGCACCCTAGTATGTATTAGACCCAGCCCAGACCCAAACCAAGATCAAAACCCAAACTCAGGCCCAAATCTACATGTAGACCCAGACCTCACCCCAAATCTAAACCCAGACCCAGACCAACCCCGTCTTCTGGTGTGGTGATGGCAGGGCTGGCTCTGGTGGCACCCAAAACCAGCCGTCACACCACACTCCCTCTGAGAAGCAGCCCCATCCTCACATCCTAGCCCTCGCTTTCCACTTCAGGGAGCAAAGTAGCCGCCTTCCAGGAGGAAGCTGCCGTCCTTTCATCCCCCCAACTAAATTTCCTCCCTGCCAGCATCTTTTGCAAGAGACTCTTGCCCAATATCCCCCAGGGAGAACACCTTTTCTGTCACGATACCCACTCTGCTCCTCAGGGTCTGCCTGATTCACTGTCTAGGTGGACACTGAGATGTCTATCAAGTGTCTCTCCTTTATTGATGAAAACCACAAAATCATTCAAAACACAAAGAGGTGATAAAAGGGGATCTAGAGATGAGGGGTCCTGGTGGCTGTGAGGTCTCAGCCCCTTGGAGCTGGTGGAGCAGGGCCGGTCCCTCCTCACAATGCCACCAGGACACCTTGGGCTGGCCATGATGGAGGATGAGGGCGGGCACAGGTCTGTGCCGATTTGCCCAGCAGTCCCCTGTGGCCTGTGGTGGCTGCCAGAACCACATGGATCCCTGGTCTGGCTCCAAGCCCTGGCTGTGCAGGGGCTGGAGGAGATGAAGCAGTGGGTGTCTGGTGTGGGGGCTCAGAGGATCCTCACAGGATCTTCCTCCGGGTCCTCTCAGTGCAGCGGTTCAAGATGAGATCTTTGCTGGGACGAGGAGGAACAGCAGGTTGAGCCTTGGCCTTGTTGTCCTGTGGCTCATTTTTCTCAACTGCGAGCAAAGCAGATGTACAGATGGGTCAAAGTGCTCCACCACCCACTACCCTCATGAATGTTCAGCAGCTTCCTATGTGATGGCCACCAAAGCTTCTGCCTCTCCTTCCTGTTGCCTGTAACGGTCTTCATGTAGGTGAGGGTGGTGGGATGAGCCCACCTGTGCCCAGTTGGAAACTCTTCTCAGGGGAATCCCAGCTTTAGGTCTGCACAAGGAGCTGCTCTCCCTTGGGAAGGTCATGGGTACTGCATGGGGACTGCCAGATCTAAAGGGTCTACCTCAATGGCAGCCATCTTTCTCATGGAGAGAGGCTTTTTACAAGGGGCTGGAGTGACAGGACAAGGAGGAATGGCTTCACAATGACAGAGGGAAGGGTTAGATTAAATATTAGGAAAAAAATCTTGCCTGTGAGGGGGGTAAGGCCCTGGCACAGGTTGCTCAGAGAAGCTATGGCTGTCCCATGCTTGAAAGTGTTCAAGGCCAGGTTGGATGGGTCTTGGAGCAACCTGGGCTAGTGGAAGGTGGGGTTGGAACGAGATAATCATTAAGGTCCCTTCCTACTGAAACCACTCTATGATTCCACGATTCCTTATGCAACACTTCCCTCTGGGGGCTCTGCTGACAGCTCATGTATGTGGCAATGGCAATGGTAATGGGGAGGTGAGGTGCACAGAGGAAAGCACAGGTCCCAAATGCGGGCTGACCTCCCTCCAGGTCCATATTCCACTCTATCTGACCTATAGCCAGGGGTAAGAAACCTCGCTGAAAGAAACACGTCCCTGCACACACTTTCCCCATAGGAAAAAGGCAGATGGGCAGGGGGTGACCTCAGTGTGCCATCCTGCTCCAGCTGCCAGCACTGGGGGTCACGGGCCATGCCTGCAGGATTCCAGTCTCGTTGAGAACTTACTGATGACATTGGCCTTGTTCTGGGAATTTCCCTGCATGTTCCACTGGCTCTGGATGTACTTCTTGCTGTTCCTCCTGTAAGTCTCCTGGCTGATCTGCTTCCGGCCCTGCTTATGGATGCTCTTCGCATTTCGGATGGTGGATCTGCAGGGAGTGAGAAACAAAACTTTCATTTTAATGCTGGCAGCTTTAAAATGGCACCACATGTTTCTTTCCCCGTGTCTCCTCCTCTGCTTCACCCAAACCCCAATTTCTGCTTTTGAGTTTTGCCTGGTGGATGCCAGCCCTCGAGGAGAGCCACGATGTACGATGTGTTCAGAGGTAGCTGGACGGTGCTTTAGAAGCAAACACTGAAGGGTGAACCCTGAGCCTGGAAGGTAACAATGGGGATGGTGAGGAAGATTGGGTGTAAGGCTGGGAGGATGAGATGGGCATGAGGTTTACCAAGAAAGCCCCGTAAGTGATCTATAGCTCTTTGATGAGTGGACATACAGCACCTCTTCTGGCTGCAACACTGCTGTAGGGCTTGGCGTGGCTCCCCAATGCCCAAGGATCAGATGCAGGGGAATGGAGCGTGGGGCATGTGTCAGCATGCACCTGGATGTGCAGGGTTGAACCCACAGCAGAGAAACTACTGAGAGAAGTTAAAGGCTGAGCAGCATGGTGCTACTACAGGAGAACACACAGCATCAGGACCACCCCCAGGCACACAGACGGAGGCCACTGCTTTGCCTCCACTACCACAGCAGCAGTGAGGTGGCTCCTGAACTCCACCTCGTGGCACCATCCTCCTGCTCTTCTTGAGCCAATGTGTCTGCCTACCTTCAGCCCCTTCCTGGTCTGAGAACGCATCCCATGTCATATCAAAGCTCTTACCCACAATGGCAGGTCACCACTTTTGCAACAGGGCTCAGCCTGGCTGCCAGCGCCAGCACTGCAGGGGCAGTGTCACCATGGTGGGGGGACAAGACACTCACCTTGGAACAGGCCACCTCACCTCCCCCAAGGGTATCAGCAAGCATCCCTGCACTCAAGTAGGTGGATCTGGACCACTTTACACTGTCCCACATCCAGTCCATGATCCATCAGAACTGGATTTGGAGAGATTTTTAGAGCAGGGTTTATGTGTTTTCTTGCAGGGAAGAAAAGACAGCTGCAAGCTCTGCCCTTCCTAGCCATTCTCTCCACACCAGAATTAATGAGTTATTATTGCTTTTTATCTTTTTAATCAAAATAAAATCCCTTCCATTAGCTCAAATCCTCCCATCAGATTAGGCCATTTGGCAGCTCCGTTTAGTCAAATCTCGCCTCTTAAAGATTCAGTGCATGCACTTGGGAAATAAGAAAATGGCCAGTTTGAAAATTAAAGGAGATTAGCCCAGAAAATAAACTTTGCAGAAGGACACGGAGAAATGCCCCTGGCTGGAGGACCTGTTGGAGTAAGGATCACGCAGCCTGGCACCAGCAATGCTAGGGTACTTGTGGGAGCTGGGGAGCACAAAGCTGGTTTTGCTGCAGCCTGCTCTGTCTGCTCTGCTCACATCGATCCAAGCAGTTCCTCATTGACAGGGCAAGCAGGTGACACCACAACCCACTGTCTGGTTTAATTTCATCTTGCTCAAGGAAGAGCTTTAGTCCAAGCCCCCTCCCACCCAGGGCTTCTCCTACCTCCGTGGAGGAGCACTCCGGTTCCTCAGTTCACTCTTCACAGGGTTTACCTCTCCAGCTTTCTGCAGGTACATGGAGGGGTAATAACCTGTGGTTTCATCCTTCCTGCAGTGCAACACAAAGCAACATCACTTGCAGTCGTGGCTCTGCAACTGCCTCCTCAGTCCGGGAGAGAGACTTGATGATCCTTGTGGGTGTCAAAGAATCCCAGGATGGTTTGGCTTGGAAGCGACCTTAAAGATCATCTTGTTCCAACTCCCTGCCATGGGCAGGGACACCTTCCATTAGAGCAGGTTGTTCCAAGCCCCATTCAACCTGGCCTTGAACACCTCCTGCTTAGGATATCCCATGATTCATGGTTCATGCCTGTCCCCTGCTGGTGTCCTGTGGGTTACCTTTCATGTTCCTTGCAGATGAGATGAAAGTTGAGATTTTGCAAAGCAAAATGTGCCAGACCAATTAGAGGCAAAATAACTAACAATTTTTTTTCCCATCTGCCTCCTTCTTGGATATTTCTGAAGTCCCCAACAGAGGGGACATTTAATATTTGGCAAAGAACAGACTCTGAGAAGCAGCCCTGCAAAAGGAAATGCTGGGCAGTGGCACCAAACAGCCCACGGCTTCCACAGCCGTGATGTGGAGAACCATGGGTGCATCCCTTCCCTCTGCCTGAATCCTGCTCACCTGACCTGTTCTTGGCATCTCTCACCTGATGACCCACCAGCCATCAAGGAGCTTGTGGATGACTTCGATTGTATCACCCTCCTTGAGGGTCAGCTCGTCCTCTTCCACAGCTGTGTAGCTTTTCTGGACCACATACGACTCACCTGCACACAAAATGGGGATGGCAGATCATATGCTGCCCCCCCCCTCGGGACGGAGCTCAACGTCCCCAGTCACTGAGGAGAGAGGAGGCACCAGAACATTTACCATACATTTTAGGCAAGACCCGGGGTGCTTCAAGTTTGGATTCAGACTTTCCCCAGCCTTGTCACTGCCCATGGCTCATCCCAGCCCCTCCATCACCTCTCCAGAAGAAAGCTGCTGGGTGCAAGCAGTGGAAGCACAACTCTCTCTGCTGGAAAGTGTGTTCAGAATTCAGTTGATGAAATGAGGCAGAAGGAAGTGTTGTGGTAATAAAGCTGTTGCAGTGTTGTAAATCCCATGAAGCTGAAGCCTGGTGAGCAATCAGCACAAGTCTGTGGGATCCTCCCTCTGCTCCGTGCAATAAGGCCCCATTGTCATGGCAGGGTGACGTGGGGGGCACTGTGCTCCTCTGCTAACCCAGCACTTCAGTATTCACCCAGCCACCTCAGCACGGCCACTGGATCAAGATGAGCATCTGTGATCAGCCAAAACACATGTCTAATGCTGAGTTGCAGGTCATGGGAAGCTCCCAAGGTTGACATTGAGGCACCAAATCATGAGATTTATCCCTTCTGGTAGTTCCTACAGCAGCATCTCCCTGCCCAGTGATCCTGCTCAGTGCGGATTGCCCAGTCTTGCAGTGAGCCATCCCAGTGGGGAGCTGCACAGGCTGTGCACTGATGCATACCCTGGTCACCCCAGCATTTTACCTGCATAGTTGGGCTCCTGCTCTTCAGACTCATCAGGACCATCCATCGGCTCCAGATAGGCAGCAGGCACCCAGCCCCGTTTATTCTTCAACTGGCAAAACCACCAGCCTGCAAGGAAAGTAGCCATGGACATGAACAGAGAATACTGTTGGGGGCACCATGGGGACACTAGCACTGAGTCTGTCCTGGCTGGGGCAGGTGCAGACATCCACATGTCCTGGACTGAAGGGACAGTGCTGGGGCTGGTCTCTGTTGACATGGTGCAACCAGAGGGCTTGACCAGTTCATCATGTTCCTGCTGGGCAGGAAACCTCACAGGCTGAGGCACATCAGGAAGTTGCACCGTTTTCTAGAATTGCCCCTCACCCTTCAGCCTGTGCACTGTCATAACTAACTCACATGCTGTGTTTGGACTCAAGATGCAAGGGCAGTCCTCATCCCTGCTGAAATGGTGGCAGGGAGGGGGCTGGCCCTCGTGGCTCTTCCAAGGGATGGGCACATACCATTCTCGCTCTTCTCCACGACATCCACCATGTCCCCAGCTTTTAGAGCCATCTCGGACGTGGAGCTCTTCTCATAGTCAGCAATGGCTCGATAGGTTTGCAGGACGATGGGGCCTGTGATGTCTGCATGGGAGAAGTGAGAGATGTTCCCTCTCCCAGCACCCAGCAGAGAAACACCCTATTTCAGGCAGGCCAGAAGCAGCCCCAGGACAGCCCAAAGTGCCCTCCCAGCCTCTTCCTTCCCCAAAGCAGCTGGATCTCAGGACAGTGACTCATTCCCCCTGAGGCTTTGGCTTCCCCCCAGCTGAAGTTCTGGCACAAAGACCATGCTCTTGATGAGCATATCCGCTGTGGGATGGCAGCCCCTCTCCCAAATGGCCTTTGCTGCTACCAAGGCAGCTGCTTGCACCCCTCTGAGGCCTCTTACCAGTGAGGCTTTGCTTGGAATCCTTTGGCAGGAGGAAGACCTCAGGCTTCTTGATCCTAGACAGGTCAGAGCAAAGGCAGCTCAATGCCAACCACCCCTATCCATCAGCAGCTATGTCCTCCCTGTGGGCTACTGCCAGCACCCAAAGGCCAGGGACACAGGATTTCCCTCAAACTAGCAGGCGGCTGGACTCACTGGCTGTCCGTGACAGGGTTCATGTCATCATGACGGACCTTGAAGAAGCTGACCACATGCAGGCATCGAGAGATCTTGTGGGGCAGGTTGACCAGCGTGTAGCAGTACTCGGCCAGCGTGCCCTGCCTGTTCTCAGTCGAGCGCTGCCCATCAAACCACTTTGGGGCTGAGGGAGAGGGAAAAGGGCTCAGAAAAAGCAGACAGAGAGCCTTGTTTTTAATATGTTCCCAAGCAGGCTGCTCTGAATCATTAATTTTGCCCTGCAAACAAGTGGGTTTGGCCCCAGGGTGCTGCATGGTTCCATGGTGTCCACAATGTGAAGCTCTGGGGGAGCACAGCTCATGCAAGCTCAGAAAAGACCCTGTTTGACCCCATTTCAGCTTCAGGATAATTCCCACATGTGTGTTCAGACTAAGTCCAGCTGCTGGTCCACAAATACAGCAGCTGCATTGGGGCACCAAGAGGGGGAGCCTGTGACCAGAGGACACTTATGCTTATGCTTATCCCTCTGTCCCACTGGCCATGGTGCTCTTGACCCCAGAGCTCCAAAATGTCACTGGCAGCTCCAACCCCCAGCAATGCTGAACTGCATAACAGGGGGTGCATGTGTGTGGTTGGTGGCACCCCCATGCACCCCCCCCAGCAGTCTGACACCTGCCTAGTCCCCAGTGCTCTCAGTTCCCCAAGCGGAACAAGGACACTTTGAACAGTCTGAGCATGGTGGGGGCGGTGCATGGGAACAAGCCCAGCATGCCAGTGTTAGTCCAGCCCCAACGGAGCCGCCTCCCAAATGTGCCACCCTGCATAGTGCAGGCTTATTCCTCGTTGATAGGTGTCAACCACAATCTGTACTTCTTTCTCAGGCTCTCTCCTGCCTCCTTTAAAGCAGGAAATTAATTAAAAGGGGGAAGTTTGTTGACCTGCACCTTGCTTGGGGACAAAGCATCAGCTGCTTGGATCAGGAGTTCATTCCCTGTCATTGAAGAGATATTGCATCGCTTACAAAGTATCTGTGTTGCCATACGGGCATTAAACCAACCCCAGTGATGGTGTCACCAAAGGAGGGCTCAGCTCAGCTCAGCTCAGCTCAGCTCAGCTCAGCCTCTCCAAAGCCAGGGGTCACAGCTGATGCTTCAGGACATGCCCAGCCTTCAGAAAGGAGTCTGTGGGGCTGCTGAGTGGGGAGGAACTACTGCCACTGCTCAGATCTTTCCAGGGTTTAGATTTCAAGCTTGGTGGGCAGGAATGATCAGACCACGCACCTGCCTGGGAAGCAGCCAGAACAGCTTGACCCACCAGGGAATTTCCCAACCTGCTGCAATTTCTATTTCACCCTCCAGTCTTGGTGCTTGCCCCTCACCTGGCAAGTGTGGGATGATCCGGTTCTCTGTGTTGATGTCCCCGGATTCAATGGGGAACATCTCCTTCAGCGCTTTCTGCAGGTAGAGCCAGGCACGGCCGTGAGGATGGCACCAGGGGAACCCCCTTTAACACCCACCCTCCTGCCCACAGCTTGCCCCCCTTCTTGATGCTCGCCCTGCTGCCACTAGGATGTGCTGGCTGGATCCCACACTTCAGCACTGGGAGAAACCTGCCCAGGGACACAGATGACTCCCACCTCTAAAGGGGCAAAAGAGATTGAAGGACTGGACACAGAAGCTTCTTTGGAGCCAGGTTTGCTTTGGGGCAATTTCAGATGGAATTCACCCTCCTCTTTTCCCCGCCTTGAGCCCTGGTGTGCTGGGCCAGGGGACAGTGCCTGTCCTGCAAGGACTCACGTGGAACTCGTATATCTCAGTAAAGCGGCGGTAGACGACCTTTTCGGATAGGTCATTCCACTTCACCAGGAACATGTAGACCTGAAGGGCAAAGCAGAGGTTGAAGCTCTGCAGGTGAGTGGGACCCCACACTGCGCTGTGCCTGGGGAGCCCCACAGATGTTCCAGTTTCAGATAAACTGCGTGTTTTCCTTCCACCACCCCATGCAAATAGCTCTGCCTTGTCATCGAGCAAGCTGGGCACTAAGGAACTCAGCATGGATGGAGAGGGGACAGAAACATGCGGATGGGTGGCAGTCAAAGAGGAAAAAGTGCTTTCAAAGCCTGTGAAGTAACCAACAGCTTGCAAAGGAGGTGCCCAAAATCTTGTGTGTTTAGGACATTTTAGTCTCTGATTGCCTCCAGCCCATGCCATCATCCATGACCCCTCCAAAAAGGATGTTCTTAGGCCCTTGGTCACATTTATCTCAGGAAATTTGCTGGGCAGGCTTTTTACCCCGCCCAGTCCTCGCTCTTCACTTGCTGGAAGGTTGCTGTGTACTCACATAGTGCTGGCTGGGGAAAAACCTTTTCTCGTAGCCCAGCAGCTCGATGTGCCGGATGAAGGCGTCCCCCATTGCTGCTCCTGCCCGCGGCGTCCTGCTCCGGACCCTGCTTCTGCCTCTCCGAGTGTCTGGACACCCTCTCCTTTCCTCTCCTCCCCTGCCCTCTGCCCTCACACAGCTCTGCTTCGCCGTTAAAGCGCTGGGGAAGTGGAACTTGGGCTGCAGTCGCACCCGTAATCGTTTACCCACTGTGGTTTGTACTGAGTCGGTGCTTCCCATGGTGAGTTCCCAGCCCAGCCCCTCCGGTGGCTCCAGGGAGAGGGAGGAGGCGGGGTGGGAGGCCTCGGGGTATCCTGGAAGCACCTCTGGAATCAGAGGACAGTGAAGGGCAAGGGCCAGGCTGGCTGCCCTGATATCCAAGTGACCCTCTGACTGCTGATGCTGCCCTGTGATGGCACAGGGTGCTGCAGCAGAGGGTCAAGGACAGACAGGTGCCTTGGCAATGGCAGCCAGAGGAGCCTTTTTGATCTCTAGCAGAGGTGGAAGGGCTGAACGAAGCGTGTTAAAGCACTCCCTGAGCCCAGGGATGGCAGCACCATTCTCTATAGGGCAGGTAGGGGAGCTGGGACAGAGCCCAGGCAGGATGGGGCAGCTACGGGCTGTGTGCAAGAGTTCCTGCCCTTGCATCACCATTTCCTTTCAGTTACCTGCAGCTTCCTCAAAATCTGCCACCGAAAGGCTGCCTTGAGCAGCCCTCGAGGACCTGAGCCAGTCTCAGCCCTGCTCACCTCCTTACCTGAGCATAAGGCCAAACAGAAGGGGACCCCAGGCATAGGGAAATGCCAGGGTGGGCTGGAGACAGACCCCTAACTCCCACTGGGAGAGCAGGAGGGTCCCTTGCTAAGACACTCTGATATGCCAGCACATAATCTGCATCTACCTCCTCCTTCTCCCTCCCCAGCCCTGAGCAGAAAGACCTGAATGGATGTGAGATCTGCATGGATCAATCCTACACTGCTTGCAGGCAAAAGTGCACCCAGGATTAGAACGGGTGCCAGTGTAAGGCAGTCCCCTGACAGAGGCAGGACCTGCTCTTCACAGGATGCTCAGAGGAGCCCAACTCCAGCCAGCCGTGAGCCCTCGGCCCCATCCCTGACTCCCAGTGCTCCATCTCCTGCGAGAGCCCATGCCTGGGTGCAGCTCTTGTCCCTGGCAGGCCAGCACGTTACCGTGAGCTAAGCATCAAGCAAACCCAGCCCCACTCTCAGCCGGGAGCAGAGATGTTTTGGGCAATGATGCAGCACCGCTGTTGCCCAATCCTGGCAGGCAACAGCCCCAAACCATGGTGGAGCTGACAGGGGCTCTCCTCACTGACCAGCCCTGCCACTGGCAAGCCCTGCCACAGGATCAGCCCGGTGCCCTTATTAGCTGTAAAGACAAAAGCTTGCTCTGTCTGCATTAAAAACATCAAATACTAACCATAACTTCCCCCTGGCCCTTGGGTGTGGTGCTTTGCATCTGTGGAGTTCAGAAACATGGTTATTTACATTTGGCTTCTTATTATTTTAACGTGGGGACTTCCCTGTATGCAAGGCAAAATCATACAACCACAGATATTAAAAAAGGCCCCTCCAGGGCTGTTTGGATTCTGCTCTGTTAGTCACCAGATAGCTGCTGCTTATGGAGAACACCACAAACTGTCATGAAAGCTTATTTCTAAATTTAAAACTCTGTTACAGACAGTACATTACTGGAAACCACGCAATTCACGTTTCTTCCTGTTTCATCATTCCTTATCTTGTGATGTGAGAAATGAAAACAGAGATTGTAAATGCCAGTGATGGGCTAGTTCACAGGAAGACACCGCCTGTAACTCAGTGTTCAAAATGTAATTTTTTATTTTTGGTAGTTTAAATTTCAGCTTAATTCAATACAGAGCCAAGGGAGGCCTTGCTTATGTCACTGATGGCAGACAGCTGTTACACAATCACAGAAACGAGAGCCTGCCCTCTTCCTTGACAGTGGGTCTCTGACAGGACAGATACAGAAAGAAACAAAGGAGAAAAGGTTCAAGTTTTGTACGTGGAAAACTTTAATTCCCAAAGGAAAAACACTGGCCAGCAGCTGCACCACAGAGGTGCTGGACTTAAACTGGTTGTTACGCCGTGAGAAAAGCCAGGGTGCCGTAACCAAGAAATGCCCAGTTTCGCCATGGACATCCTGGATGCTGCACTACTTGGATCCAAAATTCCCATTTAACAGAAAGGAGCCAGCCCACTGCACAGGACAGGCTTTTAAAGTTCAGTAAAACATAGGGAATAAATACTTATCTCCTTCTTTGTCAACACAAACCTTTCATGCTGGAACAAAAACTAGTCAGAGGTCTGGTAAGTGGTTGCAATTTTATTTATTTGTTTGTTTATTAGTACAACCAGGGCTTTTTAGGGCATTATCACTCAACACCTAAAGAGTGACATATCTCATGTGTTTGAAAATGAGTGAGATTTTCACAGTCAACATCTTAAAAGTCTGCTGTTAGGATTAGAGGTAGGTAATTTCTTAATATAAAATTGATATTTGGAAGGTATACATATTGGTGCAATTATTTTGTCAGTCTCATTTACCTCTACCGGATATAACTCAAAATGTCTGAGACCAAAATGAGCCTTCAGTGTTGAGTGCCAACACACCCATCAGCATTACTGCACGCCCAACAGCAGGCCACACATGATGCACACCACCACTCCATCTCCCAGCATCACATAAGGACTCTAGTCCTTCCAGTAAAACCACTGCATCCCCTTTCACTTAATTTTTTTTTCAGGTCCTGCATACAAAGTTGTAGGAGGACCACTCTGCTATTATGCACTTGACAAGGCAATATCCTGGAATTATTTATTTTCCCGGTTCCTTTGCTGTGATACCTTGCCCTCATTTTGAGTAAACACTTAAAACTCCATCAGCAATAGACAGCCTTGCTCCACAGGCAGCTGTGTAAAACGTGCCTCCTAAAGAGGGCTATGTGTGAAAAAGGGATGGACTGTCCTTCTGCTTTTTCAGAAGGGGAAGTCAAGCCAGCTGAAACCCAGAGAAAGCTGCATTAGCTCATTTCCTCGTTCTGAACATGTCCAGCAGCAAGTGCGAAACTTGATCCTGACCTATTGCTGCAGGTTCATTAACTGAGCCTGTGAGTCATCAGCAGGCAAATGTGTTAGTGGTTATAATGTGGAGAGTACCCATAGGCTGGGTTAGCAGACAAGGTGCACCAACGGGCTCGTTCCATGGGGCTGGGAGGGGCTGTCTGCTGAGGCAGGAAGGCAGCTCGGCACTAGTCACCACCAGCTGGAGAGCAGGAAGGTCGGACAGGATGTGTGTTTTCAAAATGCCTCAGCACAAAGCCAACCTTGCCCCTTGCTGACATCACCAGCACAAGGTCCCAGAATTGAGTGGGAGCACCTAGATCTGCATGGAGCAATTGTGAAAACACAAGCATGTGCTGCTCTGAATTTATCTGCTGCATTTCAGAGTGCTTCCAGGGAATAGACACTCTACTCAAATGAATTTAAGGCTTCAGAATTTTCCTTGAAGATACAACCACCTCACCCACCCAGAGCTGGATTTCTATCTCAAAGGCATGACAGGACCTTACCTCTTTGCTGGAAGGAAGTAACTGTGCTGCAGCATGTTCTACCTGCCTGCAGAATTATTGCTAGGACTTGTTGTGAAATACATAAATGTATACTGCATGGACAGTCATGAAAACCATCAGGAAAGTCTTTATTTCTTCATCAGGGAATAAAGTTTACCATTTGTGCATAAAATGCAGTCATCCTAAGCTCATTCCAGTAAAAGAGAAACCTTTAGAATACCTTGCATCTTTAGAGATTATCATACACCCAGAACTGTACATGTCTTATGGCTTGTGAAACTTTAAAAAAAAAAAAAAAGTACATTAGTCTCTTACACGATGTGGGGTGTAACCAGGACTACAGGGGACTTCAACTGATTGTTGTAGTCACGGAATCACAGAATATCCTGAGCTTTTGACATAGTAGGACTTAGAGCAGCTTGTAGCATGTTTCCATAACTAGTTCTAGATGAACAGAAAGGCATCCCCACAGCCTTCAGAAAAGCTCTCACACAGATCCACAGGACTATTGCCTACAGTAGGACTGCAAGACCAAACCCATCATATATAAACTTGTGATTGATAAAACATGCACTTACTACTTTGAATTAATGGAAGAAACTATAATAAGGTTTAACACTGAAATACTGACCATTTCACAGTCCATCTCATTAATGAGTACTAATCATCAAATGAACCAGTTTATCTTTTATTTAGGAAAAACATATAAATTGTGACAGGTATGACAGGAAAAATTAGTTCAAATATGCAGATACTATTGTCCAATCAACCATTAAAATAGTAACTGAAAATGAATGATTTTTTTTTTTCTTCCAAAGTAAAAAAAGTGAACTCTTTACAGAAATTTTTCCTCATTAAAAAAGCTGAGATGCATTCAGGTATGGTGAAATTTAGCTGTATTGGGAAATGTAGACAGCCTCAGCTAAGTCCATAATCATTTTAATCCCTATCATCTCCCCAGCATTGCTGCATCGTATTTAGTCCTTAAAATATATTCCAAAGTACAACCAGCCATTCCAAATCTACAGTCATTTTTTGCTTTAAGTCAATTCGCAGAACTGCTGAAAAAGTACACATTTATATTTAAAAATACAAAAGGGTTTGTATAGAAGGTATTTCTCTTATACAAAAGGGTTTGAACTGAAGATACTTTTCTTACACAGTTATATTACACAGCTCTAGACAGGCCCAGCAGGCTCTTCTCAGAACAGGATGCTTCTGACAAGGTAAGAAAAGTTACAAAAGTGAGTTAGTTTCATTGCAGCTTTGGATCTTATTACAACTATGAGCAGTTTGTGTTGCATTGTCCAGTACTTTAGGCCTAGATTCCGCAAGCACGCAGAAGCTGAGTATTGCTCTCAATAAATGTGAGATTAAATGTGTGTGAGTGGTCTCTGTAAGAATTTAGAACAAATATTTACTTTAGTACAAATTCAGTGGATGACCTAAAGCATCTAAAATCCAAACCACTGCAGCATCAAATTGTGTAGCCATTGCTCGGAC